TCCACCAAATGAAGTCCCTTTTTGAAGCGCTTGAAGATGCACGTGCAGAGAGTTCAGACGGAAATGTTTGCTACCAGAAAGTTGCTGATCAGTGTGGGTTGTCGCAATCGACAGTGTCGCGCACCGCCAGAGGCGTGACACTCCCACGTGCAATTGCAGATGAAGAACGCCGCAAACTCAGCCCACAACAAGAGCGTGAGCTTTGTGAGTATATAGAAGTGCTTACAGCGCGTCACTTGCCACCTACAAGGCATATGGTACGAAATTTTGCCGCAGAAATGGCAGGTCAGCCAGTCTCCGATAGCTGGGTTACGCGCTTCATTGACGAACATTCCAACACCCTCCTCTACAAATGGGCCTCCGCCATGGACAAACAACGTCACTACGCCGATTCTGCACAGAAGTACGACCTCTATTTTGACCTCATGTACCGCACAATTCACGAATTCGGCATCGAACAACGTCATACATACAATATGGATGAGAAGGGCTTCGCGATTGGAGTACTCCCCAAGAGCAAGAGGATCTTCTCAAAGTTTGCGTACGAGCTTCAGAAAAACAAGCAATCGCTGCAGGATGGCAACAGAGAGTGGGTGACGTTATTGGCAAGCGTCTGCGCCGATGGCAGCGTCTTGCCGCCAGGTCTCATTTATGCCGGCAAAGCCAACACCATACAAAGCAGCTGGGTCGAAGATATTGAAGAAGGAAATCACTCAGCCTTTGTTACTGCAACTCCCTCTGGCTGGACGAATGATCAAGTAGGACTGGCGTGGCTGGAGCAAATATTTCAGCGCTTTACAAAGAAGAAGACACGCCGTGCGTGGCGATTGCTCATTGTCGATGGCCACGGCTCTCATATAACGATGGCTTTTATCAAGTACTGCGATCGCCATCGAATTCTGCTTCTGGTCTTACCCCCACACAGTACTCACACGCTTCAGCCGCTTGATGTGGTGCTATTCTCGCCGCTGGCTTCTAAGTACAGCAACGTCGTCACGCAACACCTTCACTATAGCCAAGGCCTTGCAGGCGTAAGGAAGCGTGACTTCTTTCGTCTATTTTACGAGTCTTGGACTGAGGTTTTCACTGTTGAGCTGGTGCAACGGGCGTTTGAAGTCGCAGCAATTTGGCCACAAAACAGAGACTCTGTCGTCAATAAGTTCCGCAAGCCAGTTGCAGAACAGCCGCGTACTCCTTCACCATTTGCAGGCAATCAGTGGCGAGAAGCTGACCGAGTCTTCAACGATTTGGTGAAAGACCCAGACGCTGAAGGTGCAAAGAAGCTGCGGCGCTCGCTCCACCACATGAGTGCTCAAGTCTCAGTACTTTCAGCTGAAGTCAAAGGACTCCGTAGTACAATTATCTCACTAGGATCCTCAAAGAAGCCACGTCATACTCTCCCGATGGAGCAGCAGAAGAAATCGAAGAGCGAAGCCACCCTATACTCCCCAGGCAAAGTACGCGTCGCCCGTGCCAAATGGAAGGCCAAGCGACACACAAAGCTTCAAGAAGCTGCTCAAAAAGCAAAGGATAAGCAAGAACAACTCGCTAAGAAGCTGCAGGATGAACAGGATAAAGAGCAACGGCGTGTTGAGCGAGAAGAGCGCATCGCAAGGAACAAGGCCTTGCGTGAGGAGAAAGCTGAGGCTGTAAAACGCAGGAAAGAGGAGCGCGCCGCTGCAAAATCTATACAATTATCCCAATTAGGTAAGCGCAAAGCTTCACAGAAGCCTCCTCCAAAAGCCCGTACAAAAAAAGCTTGTTCTGGGGATGCGTGGCGTGGTGTTGTTGTGGAGGAGCCTGCACCTGCACCTCGCACTCACACGACGCGTAGTGGCCGCATCGCAACTCAGAAGTATTGACTAAAGGTGCCAAAACTGTTGCATAGGTCTGTAGATACTTAGAATTAATTTTTACTATATAGTGACTACTGTACGTTGATGTGGAGTATCACTTTTGTGGTGTTGAGATGCGGATTACCTCGTGCATTGACCGATGGCGTGCAGCCCGTGCACGAAAACTGTACGCGAACAGACTTAAGTCTTAGTACTGTAAGAGGGCATTCGCACCCGCAGGAAGGAGGACTTAGATTGTGCCGCGGCAGTAGCCCACCGCTGCACATGAACACTGCTTTGATAAAAGACGCAATCTGCGCGACGCTCGGCGACCACGGCTGATTCTGAAAAAGACGCGGAATTCACGTTCGATTTGTTCTCCAACATTGCTCCGTACGTTGCATTGTAGCGCTGGCCAGCCAGACTGACCAACATCACTAGGTTACTTGCGCTCTTTGGTGATCAGTTCGCTAGGCAGTTCGCAACTGAAAGCTTTACATAGGTCGATCACCTCATCTTGGCCATGGTGTCCCTTGGCGTCCTGACAGTCATTATTGGCACCATTAGAGTTCAAGGTCCGAAGATTGCAAGGTCACTCATCGGTCGCGCCAGAGGAAACCGCGCGCTCGCGGAAATCGAGTTGATGTCATCAACGTCTGGCGAGGTTTGTGAACTTTTCAGTAGCAATTCCACCTTTCGGGTCATGGGCAAGCCAAAGATTTCGCAGATCTTTCTCTTTCCACACGAATATGACAGACTCGAGGCCACATATGAAGCGATTGACGAGACCGAACGGGATCTAATGGGCTTACTGAGTTGATTGTAGACCGGTTGTGTAGTCTTTATACGCTCCAGACTGCTGTCACGATGGAAGGAGTAAGGGCGAACAGGCTGATGGGTTCCTTTTCCATGTCAAACAGGGGATGAACTATTGACTTTATCAAAGACTATCACAGCTATAGTCTTGAGCTGATGAGGGGGCTTTTAGCACGTGCACAGAAAAGCTGACAGAGAATCTACCCTCCTCGCAACCCAGTACCAGCCTCAGCCATACCCCGAGCAGACTGGCGGTTTTTGGTCCGACCCTGGCAGTCCAGCTGGCGACTACACCGGCGACACCCTTGGCACTATCTGCCCCAACACCTGCAACCCCTTCAACCCCGCTGAGCACTTCTGCGACATCACCACCGGCTGCGCCACCACTGGTGGAAGCAAATACTACTGCGCCTTCCGTGCTGGCTTCAGAGCCAACAACTACAACGCCAAGGACTTCTCCAAGCAGTTCAAGGTTGTTGCTCAGCCTTACGTCTACCTTGCTGTCAGCACTTCTTGCAACACTCCTTGCAGGGACCAGACCTGCAGTGAGGTTTTGAAGCGCTCGCAGTGCAAGTAAGCGACCATGGAGGAGATTTGGTGTATTGAGAAAGAAGAAGAAAGTCAGTTTTCCATATGTTATATCTCATGTGTCTTAGTCAAATGTTTCTGCACGGTAGAGTTGGGGTTGTATAGAAGACCTAATTTATGCACAAGCAATGCATATTCTCCTACAACAAATGCGTCCCATGTGTTTTTGAACCGTGATTGAAATGTATTGATGAAATTGTGAAGAGTGCAAAGGCTTGACCAGCAACGGTCAAAATAAGCTTATAGCGCTAGCGCTCCGATCCCGCCGCCACTTCTCTACCTATGATTTCAAAGCACCACATTCACGTCACACTTCACACAATGCGCAACTCTTCTCACTCCGCCCTCACACATCTTCCCCACATATCCAATCGCACGCCCGACTGACGCAACCCACTATGCCTCTCGAGAATGTCCGCAACATCCTCCTTGTGCTTTCGGGCAAAGGTGGGGTCGGCAAATCGAGCATCACAACCCAACTCGCCCTCACCCTCTCGCTGCAGGGCCACTCTGTCGGCGTGCTGGACATCGACCTCACAGGCCCTTCAATACCGCGCTTCTTCGGCATCGAGGAGAAGAAAGTGCGACAAGCGCCTGGCGGATGGATACCCGTCGACGTGCACACCGCGCAAACACTCTCCCCGAAAGCAGACACCGCAAATGGAGACGCAGCAACACAAGGGCAGAAAGTTGGCGCGATATCATGTATGTCGCTCGGCTTCATCCTAGCGAACAGGAGCGATGCAGTGATTTGGCGCGGACCCAAGAAAACAGCAATGGTCAGGCAATTCCTAACCGACGTGCTCTGGCCCGAACTTGATTTCCTCCTCATCGACACCCCGCCCGGCACCAGCGACGAACACATCTCCCTCCTCGAGACCCTGCTCAAACAAGTCGCCTCGCCCACCGCGCCGCCCAACCAGCTTGCCGGCGCCGTCGTTGTTACCACACCCCAAGCCATATCAATATCCGACGTCAAGAAGGAGTTGAACTTCTGCAAGAAGACGGGGATACGGGTGCTAGGTGTGGTGGAGAACATGGCGGGTTTCGTTTGTCCGAACTGCAGCGAGTGCACGAATGTGTTTAGTAAGGGTGGAGGAGAGATTATGGCGAGGGATTTCGAGGTGCCGTTTTTGGGTTCAGTGCCGATTGATCCGGCGTTTGTTATGTTGATTGAGGAGGGTGCGAGGCCGGTGTATCCGAAGGGGACGCTTATTGAGGGGACGGATGTTAGCAGTACGGGAGTGACGAGGGGGGGGAAAGAGGGGTTGTTTGTGGATAAGTATCGGGATTGCTCGTTGGCGCCGTTGTTTGATGGGTTTGTCAAGAGGTTGTTGGGGGATATCCGGGGGCACGGCGTAAGCAATGAGATGAAGAGACGGATGGCTTCAAGCACAGGGTGAAGCTACTACACAACACCTAGAACGTGAAATAAAGGCCACGAGCAGACTCTATGCAACCCCCCATATGTACCATAGCCGAATCCAAGGCGGCTGAAGGCCCATGGCTGAAGACTGAGAATTGGGGGGGGGGGGTTCCAAGCAGGTGAGAGGGCCCTAGCGTGGCAAGCGCGTCTAGTCCGGGTCTTCCTCGAGCACTCTGTCTCCCACCTTCCGTCACAACTCGAACATCAAAACATTGCCTGGCACCCCGCAGTACATCCTCACTTCAGCTGCGAACAGGTGTTCACATCGAGTACCTGGACTCGAACTGTCGGCACCTCAGCTCAGCCGCACCGAGCCTTGTATCTGATAGCAATACCACATGCTGCGCATAAATGATCGACACTCACACCGCCCTCTCCCATACTCTACGCTGCCCATATCGTTCTGCGTTCCGTACACAACTTTCAGGCGCCTGTACCTGCCGGATTTACGACATGTCGTTACGCTGCAAAACCATTCACCATCCCATGCCGCACAGTGGATAGGGGCACAGATATACGATTAGTCACATGCCTATCAAGTGGTTCGTCTGAATCACATACACACCGGCGACAAGGTTACCTCGGCTCCACCTTCCTCATGACCCCGCGTTACATTGACAATGACCTTGCACTTACAGCTTACGACTTTGCTAAGTAAGTGAGAGAGGAGCGGTCTGCAGCCCAGAGGTAAAGGCAAAGGTACAATGATAAATATGAAGGAGTGAGCGTTGCCACCTACATGAAAGCTCGTCACTACGTCTTCTCCACGCTGTCAGAATCTTTTCTGATACACCACACCACACACCACTCGACTACCTTTGACGACTCAACGGCTCAACTACAGCGTATCGAACAATCACCTTCCGCCACACGAGCAACAATGGCGCCGTTTACAAACCCTCTGCGCCATCTCTGGGGTCGAGCGCCCACCTGTTCAGCGCCAGATTCGATTGCCCGCTTCGACGGCATGAGCGATGGCAGAGTCGGCGACCAGCAGATGCACGAACCAACCGTTCAGCAGCAACAGTCCAACGACAGTCCAGCAGTTGGGAACGGATTTGCACCACCTATGGCGGGACAGTTTTCGGCTGCCACTGACCAGAGTGCACATCAGGCAGATGATCTGCAACAGTACGGACAGCCATCCCAGCAGCTTACGGTACACCAGAATGCGGCTGGTCTGAATGGCATGTACGGCTTGGAACAAGTGATACAAGAGCTTGAAAATAGTGGACAAGGCCAGTGCAAAGATATGGAACGCCAGCAGCCTTCATACACAGCGACCGCTCAACCTCCTGAGACATCTTCACAGCATCTCCAGGCCAACGACCACCTTCAGGCATCGCACTGTCCAAATACAGCTACTGATGCAAGCACAGAAGTCCAAGTGAGACGGGAACCAGCAGCCGAGGGATACGATGACCGCGACATATTCGCGGAGTTCACTAACGAAGATGGTCAAGATGCTACAAGCCTTCAGCAAACTGTCAATGATACGGCAAGTTCCATCATTCAGGCATCCTGTGATGCTCCTTCGATCAAACAAGAGCCAGGAACTGAGTCTCGAATGCCTATTGATGCAATTGAGGGAGCTGCTGGGGTCAATCTAGCAATCACAGCCACTCACAGTACGACCGCAGCTCCCAATACTATGGATGGTCAGGCACGTGCATCTTCTTCAGTTGGTACTCCCGAAGTCACTTCCGAGACTGGCACATCTTCCTCTGGGGTGAACCTTGACGCAGCTCGTCCACAAGCGCAAGTTCCATACGGCACAGTTACTCAGGTCAGTATTCCCGTGTCACAGCTTCCGACTACAGCAGTCACCGATGTAACTCAAAGTCAACTTTCTGTCGAGCAGTATACTCAAGATCCACGGCAGTCAGATGTTGGTCCCCAAGCAGTATCATCGGGTGGCAAAAGCCTGAGATCCCCCTCAGCAGACTCTGTCATTGGATCTCAAAAGCACAGCTCAGAAGAGACGGCTCTATCTCCTTGTGGGATGGGTCTGTCAGCCAACTCGCGTCTGCTTGTGCAGCAGTGGCAGCGACGACATAAACTGTCCGGCATGGGCCCAATGACCGCAGACGCAGTGCAGGCAAATCCTATCCTACTGCATGGCCCGATGCCGACACAACAGCAGTATCATCAGAATGCCCCACAAGTAGTGGCAGGTACACCTTCTTGTCAGCCCGCGACAGACCATCTTTTCAACAGTCTTATAGCCAACCAGACTAAGCAAGTCAATGGGCCACCGCGGAACTCGAATTCTCCGTACGGCGTAAACATGCAGTATCCCACCTATTCCACTGGCGCACAACATGGTCAAGTCAATCCTCCCTGGATGCCTTCGGGCTATGGTCCCAATCCATCGATGCGACATGCACGTTTTCCAGACTATCCTCTTCCTGGCTCTGTCAGCCCGCAGCGTATCACCGAAGTGCAAGAGGAGGAAAGGTCGGAGGCTTCTGATGACGATGAGCTGTTGGTCACACGTGCGCCGCGCCATCGTTCGACCACTGCAAGTCCTGGCTCTCGTTCAGCCTTCGATGCCACCACTTCTCCAGGTATTTTGCAGCACGGTACCTCGATTGTAGGGCCAAAGCCGACTGATGCCGCACCCAAATTGAGCGTCCCGGGTGACAAACAGGACACTGTCATTGAGTTATCAGACGACGATGATGATGAAGAGACTAGCAGACCCATCTCTTGGGCACTCCCCAAATACGAAGCCACCTATCATCCTCCTGCCGCCACCACCGATCTCCCCATGGCTAAAGTCTCAATCCCAGATCTGGTTCGAGAAGAAGTAATGCTCACCGAGGACCACTCTGAGCAAGAGATGCAGCTCTTCCTGAACGTCTTCCTCCCAGCTCAACAAGCTTTGCAGAAACCGGACCCTGAACCCGCCCACGCGGTCATCAACTTCCACACCATCGCAGTTATGGTTCTGGAGGCCTACGTGCAGTACGAGATCGGGGACGAGATGGGTTGCGGATACGGTTTTCATGGCGGTAACCAGGCCCTTCGCCCCAGCCCTTCCTCCTTTGATGGTGAACCAGCACGCACACGCTCAGCTAAAGACGCTGATGTAGATGAGATCTTCTTTGCAATCATTGACCGCTGGAGGGCTGGTTTGACCTCCGGAAAGGGGACATTGAAGCTGATTCGAGGGTGCCAAGAGTTCTGCGACATTGCACTCGACATCATTCACTACGTCAAGGAGCATGGACTGTTGCAGCCGGAACTGAAGAGGGGGAAGGAGAGGAGTGACAAGGGCGTGGTGAGGGGTCCGAGGGGTGGCGCAAAGGAAGTTGAGACGAAGGGGAAGGCGACAGGGAAGAGGAAGGCGGACGCTGTGGAGAGCAAGGCGCCGGCGAAGAAGCGCACGAAGGCAGGCAAGGTCGCTACGCTGCAGCCGCGGAAGAATGCCAAGGTCGAGGACAAGAAGAAACTGAAAGCCAAAGCGAAAACGAGCACCTCGGCACTCGTTGTGATCCCTCGGAAGAAGTGATTTGGTCATTAGATTTTAAGCGGGTTGTCTTTGAGCAGGATACCGGCGTTTATCGCACCTTTTCCTTACATGGAGCCGGGATGGGCGTAGGTCATATACATACGAAATGAACATGCATGATAACCACAAATTTAGAGCACGCTGAACGTCCACTTAATCACTCATCGATGCTGTCTACAGTCCCAAACACCTCGGCAAAGTACTCTCCCAGTTTCATACAGACCTCGCTCGCTTCATCGAGTCTACACCCTTCTTCAACAATAACTTCCCACACCCGCCTTTCGACATCGTATCCGAACATCTCCACAACTCCCTCTCGATCACCCCACATACGCGTGTAATTACCACTTCTCGTCTTTGCCGTCGTCCCGTCCATCTCTAATATGCGTGTAGGATTTAGTTTATGCATATTCTGATGCACGAACCACGGTTTCGGCCGTACTTGCGCTTCCCATCCTCCTCCTTCAGCTTCCTGCCACCGGTTTTCGGGGTGAATATGGCTTTTGCTCGGCGGTCCGTACGCAAAATCGCTCCTCGGATCCATCTGCGCCAGTCCACTCAATCTATACTTCCCATGCTCAAAGTACCCCAAGCCAACTACGCCTGTCTTGACCTGGTACCACGGCGCGCCGACCGCCATCGCGGCCTGCACGAACGTCTCTTTATCGCCTGCGCCGTGCGAGCCCTGGCAGAGAAGGGAGTAATAGTACTCCGGACCGTAGTAGTTGTAGTACACCATCATCAGTAACGACTCACGCTGTTTCTCTTTATCGAGCAAGACGATGCCGCTCTCTGTTGAAGGCCGCGTGGACGGTGACTCGTAGGGGATGCCGGCGATGTGGTAGTAGTGCTCGGACACCGTGAGGCCGAAAAGATCGGGCCAGACGACGAGGCCGTGCGTCGTGTATGGATGCGTGGAGAAGAGAGACGTGGGGTCGTGCGCGGGGAAGGCGTCGCTGTCGAAGAAGAGGGTGTGCTGGAAGGAGGAGAATAGGAGGGCGAAGAGCTTGAATTGGTAGCTGGCGGGTGGGCGGATGTTCGGTGCTGTGTCGTAAATCTCAGAAAGGACCACGCACGCCGCATTGAGCGAAGGGAGTACAGAGTCGCAAACGATTGGATCGTATTTGGTCCAATTGTCTATGAAGACCTCCACGGGTAGCTGGCAGCCGGTTCGCCGCAGCATACGGAGAGATACGAGGAAGATGGGTATGTACTTTGGGTTCGCGGTTGTGACGATTCCCTGGGAGCCTTTGGAAAATACGAGGCGTGGTGCAAGACGTTGCACAGAGTTACGCATCAGGTAATGCGATGCCGATAACACGGTCTCGTGCTCATCAGTGAAGTTGACCAATCTTGCAGGAGGGATCTTGGAGATGTTCAAAGGCTCAAAGGTGGTCTCCAAGCTTGTGGGGTGACCATCTTTGACTTGGAGAGGGGGGCATTGAGGCCGTGCATCTTCAAGGGAAAGAGAGAGGTCATTCCAGAAGTCCTTCATTGCCGGGCTGAAAGTAGATTTTGTCTCAGTAAGGTTGAATGAGCTTGCTGTGGCGGCTTTTGTGCGAAATGATGGAGGAGCGTTCGTGGTGGCCCATAGAGGTAGCCTAAAGTAAGTCGCATCGCTGTGGATCCGGATCTGCACGAAGGTATAGTAGATGATCAGAACGATGGGTATGGGCAGCAGTCGCAGCACCGTAGCTGCCTTGAAGACAGGCATGACCGCTTAGTCCAGTGAAATCCAATAAGGTCCCTCACAGCTAGAAAGCGTCGTAGTCGCCGCCGTTTAATTTGGCAGTGTCTGAAAGTGAAATTTGGACTCCTGAACTTGCGAATCACATTGGCTCTTGTCGCGGTACCAAAGACTGGCCTGGCTGGATGGCAGTAGTACTCTGCGGGGCGAATGCTAGAAGTTGAAGACCATGATATCTGCGTGTAGAGCAGAAGATATCAACTACCTCCTCGCTTGGCCGTCGCCTTGGCTGGCTGCATGTGTGCGCTTGAACCGTTATTATCTTGAGACATGTGTAGTTCAGGTCCAGTCGAAGAAAGAGAGGCGTCCTAGTAAGTGCAACGACTATCATGCATCAAGGCAAAGACGTGACGATATGGCTGACTTATTACGACTATCATTGAAGTTTTGGAGCGGTGGCGACGCCGCATGTCACGATTGTACGAGTGTGGTGCTGTCGAATTGTCGTTGGAGTCGAACCGGATGCAGTGAGATCTTGGCACCACACTCATTCCTGAACATACAAAACAGGAACATATATAGGAGTCAACACCGAGACAGTATTACGGCCGCAGAGTGTGTTTTGTGTATGCTGAAAACCCCGAAGTGTTTTTCGAAGGTGGCAGAGGGTTGGTCTGCTTTGCTGATTAGCACGGGTCGTTCACCGGTAGCACCATCGACCCACCTCCCTCAGAAGCCACGCTGACACAATGGAACACCACCGTACCACACGGGGAAGTGGTTTGGTCCGTTTTAGGCTTCGATCTCGAGGCTGCAGGGGTTGATTGTCTGTCGCAAGTAACTGTTCTGCATGGGAAGACTGAGGACGCGAGGGTGAGTGGTTGTCAGGTGCAAGATCGGCGGCTGTCTAGGCAAAGCTGAATTAGCAATACTTTACAGAAGACCCCAGCAGGAAGCCACATATGCATCTTACCTTCTTGGTGGAGTTCTTGCCGTGTTCTACGGTAAGCTGGTCGGTACCAAAATAGTAGGAACAATTGTAATACAAACCTGACCCTACTCGAAGAAACAACATACCACAACGCAACGCGTAAAAGCCGTACACATTTCTAACACTCTAGTACATGTCGTACATGTTTCTAACATTCTAGTTGGTACATTCTTCTACATGTATGTATACTTTTGTGGCAATTTGTAAAGAGCAGAGTATGGACAAAGACGGATGACTAAGAACAGCGGCAAGCAAGCGGAGAGATGCAGCGGTACAGTCAACGGGGTATCATCTGATAGTGCTTGACACGCACATATTTGAGGCAGAGATGATAACCTGAGCAGTCACCAGAAGACATCGCAAGGCGAGCTTAAATCGAGAACGAGAGAATGTTGAATGACCGACCAAGGAACCGATATCCTCCCAGCGCCTCGCTACCACCCACCGCGCTATGCCAGCAAATCAAAAGAACGAGATCTCGAATGACATGCAAAGAGAATTGTGAAATTCAATTTGCAAAATAAACGAGAAGTAAGGAAACGCAAAACAAGAAGAGCTAAAGAGAAAAGACGGACTGACAGATCCAAAGCTCCAACCAGCCCCCGTTGCCGCCGCACAGCCGAGCCTGTACTTTTTATCCTGTCCGGCTTTTGTTGCAAATCCATCCCGGAACACCACCTTCCGCTAAAGGTATCAAACTCCATCGCTTGAAATCCCAGTCTATACGCACACCGACCCGTTTCCATGCCAGGTAGCCTGCAAATGCCACGAGATCTTAACCATTTCTGAACGACGAACTCCCCGAATTCAATCTTGCCAGCGCCAGCCTGTCCGAAAAAAAACGTCCCATACCAAATCGCTTGTGCAAGATCCAAGGATGCAGATGTGATACCTTATATAAGAGAGGCTTACGCTGGTGACTTATTGGCCGAGTTCGAGGCGTTACGACGGTCATCGTTCATCGACAGTGAGTTGAAGCCGGTAGAAAGGAAGGAGAAGGGGTCGCCGCCGCCGTTGGGAGCGCCCTGGTTGGGGTACGGGTCAGCCGCGCTGAAGGCAGCCTCGGCGGAACGACTATCGAAAGGAGTTGAATGCATGCCGCCATTCTGAGAGTACTGCGCGCCCATGGGAGGATAGGGGCTGGCAGCGCCCATACCGGAGGGCAAAGCATACTGGCTAGATGGTCCGCCATACTGCTGAGGAGGGAAGCCACCCTGAGCGTAGCCAGCAGGACCGTAGGGACCAGCACCAGGAGTACCACCCATGGAGGGAGGGCCCATACCGAAGCTTGATGGTGTGTCCATGGGCGAGGGGAAAGCGCTGTCAGCAACAACGGCAGCCCCCGCACGGCTCGCACCGCACCGCAGACAGGCCGTGTTCTTGGCGAAGTTGTGGTAGCCACAGCCATTCTCACCGCACTTCCAGTCACCGGCACGGAAAGGAACCACGCCAGTACCTCCACGCATGTGACCGCCACCCATGCCGTGTCCGTGGCCATGGCCGCCCATGTGGTGCTGAGGAGGACCCATCATACCGGGATGACCGTAGCCATAACCAGCGCCGTAACCTATGGGATCGCCGCCTTGGGGACCGCCCTGCTGCATAGCCGGGAACGAGCAGCGGAAGCATGCAGTGCGTCGCTGGAAGTTCGAGAAGCCGCATGATGGGCAGTTCCAATCACCCGGACGAGGCCTATTCTTACTGGGCGGGAACGGGGTGATGATCTCTGCTGCGCGGTCGAGGACGCGGCTGGATGAAGGCGAGACCTCGATGGCCTTCTCGTTGAGGGCGCGGCCGTTCATGCAGAGACTCTCGGCAGCCTCTTCGTGTGATGAGAAAATCGCAAAACCGGTGCCGGTAGGCTTGTGCTGATCGGGGGTGCGCAGCGTCCAGAACGCAATTGGACGACCGCCAAACTGAGTAAACCAACTTTCGAGCTCGGATTGAGTGGTATCGTGAGGGAGACCGCTCATGTGAAGGACTTTGCTGCGCTCTGAAAGGAAAGCACGAACGTCAGCGCGAGCGTCCATTGGCTTGGTAAGTACGTCGGGGTGCTCTTGAGGCGGTTGACTCTTGCGGATGAGACCACGAAGTACTCTTGCAAGTGTGACAGCCTCTTCCATAGCCCGCCTTGGCGAGGCGGGGGCAAGTGCCTGTAGGTGAAAGGGAAGGTTATGCTTGATGGGAGCTGACGACTGCACAGGCTCAACCTCGAGGGCAGCACAAATGTTAGTCAGAGCACTTGAACCGAATGGGAGCGACTCCGGGTGGTGTGCTTGCCAGCGCTGGTACTCGGTGCGCAAGTCAAATGTACGAGAGTGTTGGAGGTATGGAGGCAGGACGACGGCCTTATCGCGGGCCTCACGAGGCAATTGGACACGCAGGTCCCACGAGTCGAGAGTCACGAAAGCGAATTCGTAATTTTTGGGCAGGATGTGCTCCTGTGCGAACGTATCGAAGCGGTTAATGGCATCACGGAATGAGCCAGCGTTGCGGACCTGATCCCAGGTCAGGGTGGTCAAGCTTGCTGCAGGGGTACGTCAGCCAATGCGAAGCAGGAGTGTTGGAGAAGGACGACTTACTGCACAATGCAGTGATGGGGGTGTTGACGGGTTTCACAAGTACGCTCTCGCGGTGAAGCTGACGATATGCATTAGCAGCTGCGAGCGCAATGGTGGATGTGGTGGAAGCGGTACCTCTTCGCAGGACTTTGCGTCCAGCAAGATCCAACCGAGCTCAATGACCTCAGCAGAGTCCTTGGTAACATATACGCCGTGCTCATCACACGTCGTAGCAACGTGTATCACGACATAGCGGTCGAGGTTCGGTGCCTGAGGCGTGGGGGTTGGTTGGGAGGCCATAATCACAATATGCTGAGGGGACCAGCTGCTCAGTTATCTTTCGATTTGTTGCGTGGGGCGTGGCTGCACTCAGCTGCGAGCTGACGTCGGGTAAAGGTAAGAGGAAGGAGCGTTTGTTTGGGTCTCGATGTGAAGGGAAGGCGCGCGGACGTCAGCGGGCAGGTGAATGGGGGGAGCACCTGATGAGGGGAGCTTCAAGCTTCAAGCTTCGCGGGTGAAGTGGGCGGGGTGGAGTCTCTGGGAATAGAGACGAGACTGAGTGAAGGATCTCCAGGTGAGATGAGACAGGTGGTCGGAGATGCGGTAGGGAGGTAACAGCACCGTGCGAACGCTCATTAGAAGATTTCTTGACGTGGATGGAGGAGCTAACGCGCTCTCAGCGCCAGACATGGGACTTGGCGAGTTCGACGAGATCTGTGCGGTCCTGCACTGCCGGAGCAATTGGACGTCGTGTCATAAGACGTTTACATATACCTTTTCTTCCCCGCAAAAGGGTTCTGCCTCCGTACCGAACTTTGCAGAGGTTTCTCGCCTGAACACGCTCTCACATGGCATCTACCACACGCAAGTTCTCCATGTTCCCAGTTCCAATCTCGAGGCGGCCTGCAGGCGGGTAGCGGTTTAGCGGCCGGCGACAGGACGCTCGGCGAAGCTGCCCGTTCTTGATTAGCATCTGAAACCACCACAACGCCTCTCATTGAGCAGCGCACGCGTCTGTTGAACACTCTCGCGTGTGCTCCGCCTCCGCTGTGCGACTCTGTGCCTCCACTCATATATTGAATTGACACTAGCCTGCAACCCCAATTGTCGCTGCGCGCGGAGAGCTGAAGGCTGCTGTCCTCCACGCCGCAGCCGGACACACAACATTTGCAGGGTTCAACGAGGACACGCCGCCCTGGACCTCCACGCAACAGTGTCAAGCAGCTCCCTGCTGCCCTTGGGCAAGTGTGTTGTCAGCGTCATGCTTATGCACTTGTCGTGCAGTCTGTGGACAGTCGTCAGCTTTCAGACTGGTGAAGCCCTCGATCTGCTATCTTGCTACTTAGAGTAGCTGCATGTCTTTCATGCAAAGATATATCTGAACCACTTCCACATTGAGTGACGTCTACTCGCAAATCTATAAATACGCAAGAGACCTCCTGATACGTTGTTCCGCCTTGACAAAGCCTCCCGTTCAACGGCTCCCTCGCCGTCGTGCTGTTGCCTACCGGTACCCCTGGCAGGCGTCTTCCCCGCAGCCACAGGCGGTGGAAGATGTTCATCCACTCTTTGTTGCAGTCCCGGCACAGCAGATCCGCATTTCACTCGCTCTCTGCTGTGCCGGTGATAGGATGCTGAACCGCCTTGCTGACATGTCGAACGCGTCCTACAGCACTAGTCGTGACCAGGCTCAATTCGTCCACGTCTGCTCGGTGTTTGGCTTTGGCCCGTTGAAGAAGGTCAGAGGAGGCCCCTTAAACACGAAAACTACGCCGCACTGAGCGCTCTCAGCGACAGAACTGCCCTCTTCGCGAGAACCACTGACAGTGCCATCCACCCTCCAATTTGCTGCTTCGTAATCGGGCCAAAGCCGAACATCTTTGGCTGTAGCGGCGTTATTCATCGTGTTGATCTGGACATGTCGCGGCGTTTCATACAGGGCCCACAAGCCGCGGAGCGAAACTCGTGAGTAGCTCCTGTACTATTTCTACCCCGCGTACTTGTCGCAGCACCCTGAATTACCCTGACGCGTGCCTGGGCGTCCATAAATTTATACACCGACTGATTGATTGTCTAGAACTGGCATCATGGGGTGGTTCAAGCGATTCTCCAGGAAGAAGTCGTCGACGCCCAAGAAAAGCGTAGACCTCCGCGTGCCGCGCAACGACTATTACTCCCCTGCGACCTACGAATACCATGGACCAGACCAGACAACGCGCCTGCCGGAGAAGGTGCTGCGCCGCATCTTCGAGGAGGTCTGTCCACACTCGACTGATGACACGCTCGATGGCAGCGAGGACAGCGGGAACGATGGCTGCATGACCTGTGACATGCGCGACCTGGCACACTGCGCCCTGACTCGACGGTCATGGTACGGCATAGCTGCTGGTCTGCTGTAAGTTGCGCTGTCAATTATTACTACATGACCGAGTCTGACAGAAGGCAGCTACAACAGCATTCGCATTGACGCCGTTCACTACTGCGAGCTCGAAGAGATCTACGCCGACCAGCGAAGGCGCAAGTCGCGCAATGGCGACGCAGAAGATATCCCGACGGTGCGCCTCCAGATGCTGAGTAACAGCGTGCGCGGCAACCAGCACCTCGGCCAGCGAGTGCGCTTTGTCAAGCTCCCATATATGACACGAGAGTCTTGCAAGGCCGATCTAGCACGTCTCGTATCAGGCTGCCCGAACCTCGACTACATCGACCTCCCAGACGGCTTCTACAACGGCGACCAGTCATGTCAATTGCTGCGACAGGAACTCCAAGCACGCTGTCCGCACATTCAGAAGATGAAGTACAACGAGGGTGGAGAGCAATCAGTGGAATCGCTGCTCCATGGCTACTGGCAGGAGCTGCGCGTGGTTGAGCTGAACAAGCTGCGCATCGAACCGAGCATATTGAGGCAGGTCTTTGGTATGCTCCCTCGATTGAGCGAGCTCACAGTGACAGGCGGTGCTTGGATGAACGACTCCTTCTTCCACGATGCACCTGGCCTGCCGCATTTCCCACCCCTGGAGACACTGAAGCTGGAGAAAGTACACGGTGTGACTGCGCAAGGACTGGTGCAGTACCTCTCGAACCACATGTGCGCCGCCAGATTGAAGACACTCATCATTAGGAACTGCAACGGAATCACAGTCGCAGATCTGCACGCTATTCTGAGGGCGGCCTCTAATCTGAGAACACTCGAATACAACGCAACAATCACGGCATCGTTACCATTGGATCCTCTGCCCCCTCTGGAGTCGTACACCCTGCGCAAGCTGAACTACGAGATCATTGCGAACTCGACGAACCAGATTTACTCCCCTGGCGCCTCCTACTACCAGTACTTGGCCAAGTCGTTATTGTCCAACAGCCTTCCTGGACTGCGCCAGCTCTACGTTCAAGACCCCGAATTCCCTGAGATCCTCACACTAGCACCGCCGATCCGTCCATTCAGCGAAGCACCGCAACCCACATTCAACCAGCCACTTGAAGTGTTCTCCAAGGGACTTGACGAGCTGGAATGGATATTCACCTCCATCATTCCTCCAGAGGCGGGACAACGACGCGCATCAATGGTTGGCGGTCGTCCACTCAGCAGCTACTCAGCACACAAAGGCTTGGGACCACAATGGGGAGGCGAGGCTCGAAAGAGTATCGTGGTACCCAACGGCTTCGGTGGTTTCTTGGCTATTCCTGCAGAGAATGATGCTCGGCCGAGAAGCGCAGGAAACCCTACAGCAGGTGGCGGTGGTGGCAGTTTTGGTGGCTTTGGCCATAGCCATTCGCACTCACTCAGCACGAGCCCCGGCGGCCCTGGAGCGCGAGCGAGCTGGATGACCCACGCAGGACGCGATAAGCGTGCCTCAAGGGCCGACCTGTGGCGATGAGGTGATACTCCTCGCTGTTCCACATCTACAGACTTTTGCGTAAGCATTGCGTTGTTTTGCATTGGGTTCGATCGCGATTCAAGGGTCACATTGAGTACCAACATCTCTCATGTCATTTTCCTTCGCACTTCACTTCTCAAATACCCCTTTTCTTCATCTACCCGACTGTATCATAGCAGCAGGCGTTCGGGACTTCATCGATCATGGTTGGTCGCAGACAATGATACCTCATGGCAGATAGGATGGGTGGGACGGCATCTAATTGTACATAGGAATCGGAGTCTTCATTTGCCCATCTCCAAACTCGCTGCTGTATCTTTTAGATGTGCGCATGTGCTGCTCTACGACTGCGCACCACACTCCCCCCACTCACAGCCCTTCCAGCTTCTCTCCGCCTTTACAAGATCAATCGGGCACTCTCCCGCTCCTCTTTCCAGCATCCTCATCACCACCTCCTTCGCCCTCGCTCTCCCATCCTCGTCATCCTCGTCCACCCACAACTGCCCATGTCTCGCTCCACACCGCAAATTCCACGTCCCTTTCCGCAACGCTTCTATATCACGTACCAGTTCAACACCGCCCTCAACCCCACGATCCACACTCGCAATCTCACTCCCCCCATCCGCATGATGAAAAATCTCTGGCCCCACACTAAAGCACCTCAACCCCTCCCCACACGCCTTCAGCAACTGCACATCAAACGCCTCGACCCCTTCCCTCTCCCTGCTGAACTCTTTCACGATCCTCTCTGCGGACCGGCGGTTCACGGCATACGCGAATGTGCAGAAGGGCGCGAATGTGCGGTGCAGTATGCGTGTGGATTCTGGAACGCGCAGGGCGCGGAGGAAGTTACTCGTATCGGGGTGCAAGAGGGTGTGTGGGGGGATGGAAGGGTCGGGGTAGAAGAGGTGAGGGTGCGAGAGGAGAGGGTTGGTTGGGTTGCCAGATGAGTCCCCTGGCGGGGAAGGGAGAGCGTCGTCGCAGTGCCCCGGGTAGAGGATGTCCCAGGTGTTGGTGTCGCCCCAGTACCTTTCATCAACACTGGATCGGGCCGAAGAGGTGTTCGAGAGGAGGCTGCGGACGACGGGGGCAAGGAGGGGGATTTGATGGCTTCGAATGGAGAGATCGAAGTCTACGTCGTCTTCGATAATGAGTGCTGTTTCTTTCCCCGTGTCGAGAAAACAGCGTAGGGCATTGAGGTGTCCGAGCCATGCCCTTGCGCTACCCTCAGAGATCGCAGAGTCTGAGGTGAGGCGGAACGCGTCTAGTTCTGCTTCCGTCCATTCTGGCTGATGTGGTATGACGATCTCGAGGTCTGTAAGGTTGGCTGCCCAGAGGAGACCTGGTTGGCGTCGGGAGTGCGGGCGGGAGACGGCTAGGATGGTGCCGAAGCCGAGGGTTGAGTTTGCTGGGGCGGAGACCTGGTGTTGAAAGGGTGGGTCGAGGTTGCGGTTGTAGAGAAGTAAGAGGATTGTGGGTGATGTAAGGATTGCTATAAGGATGGCGCGAGTTCTTCGAAGCATGATCCCACATGGAGTAGGTGAAATCGGACGAGAGATGGTGGTGAGAAGGCATTGTGTGCGTTTTTTTTTTCAATTATGTTGAAAACTCTCCTGAAGATTCGTGTCGAGGTGAATGAGACGTTAGGTGAGTATTACTAGTGAGTCCTCGAGCGTCACTGTTTTGATTTGCGTTTGCAAGTACGTCAGACAAATTAGCTAAGAGGAACAGCTTTGAAAAATCGAGAGGAACAGCTTTGAAAAATCGAGAGGAACAGCTTTGAAAAATC